GCGTAAAACTTTTGTTATATTTGAGAACCACGACACTGCGGAAACAGAAAATATCACATTTTGTTCAGCTCACTTTTCTCTACAAGACTAGATGTAAACGGTCCTTGAGTTTCCTTTTGTTCGAGCGCCAAGAGGCTCGCAAAACAACAAAAATCGTGACGGAATCACGAAAAGGCGACCGTTACGTGGACAGGCCGGATAGATGTTTTTTAAAGTGAACATTAATTGAAGGTCTGTCGCCATTTTGGTTACGACTTTTTTTTGAAAAATGATACTCAAAACGTATATATTCCCATAACCAAAGGGTTAACCTAGTTTTCAAATTACTCGAAAGAATTTGAATCATTAACCAAATTAATACTGTTGGTAATTGGTTTCAATTGGAAAAGTTTACTAAATTATTTGAAAGAAGTCGACCAGTTCCAAAGTTAAAAAGCGAAGCGAAGCGGTGCATTATACTTTAAAAATCATATTATTTGTCGAAATAATCATATTTTAGCAAAAAGTTTTCTCAGAAAACCATGTGAGGAGCTTCGGTCAAATTTTTGAGGAAAAAGCTTTTAGTTCGACGGAAGTTTTTGTACTGATCTAAGAATGAAGTTTTTATTTTAGTTCACATTCATGAAAAAGTTGATTTCGTTATCCGTTGAATAGAACATGATCTTCAGTATAGGAAATTAAAAAATTATTATGAAAAATTATTTTTATATTGGAAGAAACGAGAGCAAAGAACGCAATTTATAAAAAGGTCAACTAATGTTTGGTAATAGTGATTTTGTTTTGTAAGTTTTTTGAGAATGAAACATTTTTGAACTTTTGTAGACCTATTTCGATTGCAAGAGGTTTTATGTAAAAATCTACAACAAATTAATTCAGTTGATTTTTTCATGAATGTGAGTTGCCAAAAGAAAATCGATACCAAAAGAAGCAGATGATTGACTAGTAATCAGTATGAATTAGTATTATTAATTTTATTAATTATTATTTAGAATAAAACTACTCTTCGGGCTCGCTTTTACACTGCTTTCCCTCTCCCGCACGCACGCACGCACATAGAAATAACTCTGTGCGTGTGTCTGTCTCCACAAAGAGCACGGTAGTTTTGACATTCAATGTAAGATTGAGCAAACCTGAATACGGCGGGATATCTTCGATGTTGAAAAACTTGTGATTACATTGAAAAATTTGAGCGATACTTTTGTGAGCTATTCAACAGGAGTAGTTTTTCGATCGTACTATATCATAGTCATATTTGCGATAAAGATCAAGTTCATGCAGATGTTCTGCCTATGGATAAGCTGTTATAACTTCGTTATAATTCATATCGGATATTATCATTAAATGTTCGAGATTTAGTGGAAAATGCTCGTGAGGCGTTAAATTCAGTTGTATGGATACAAGTGGATCGCTGGTGTTTAACGATGAAATATTATCTTTGTACTATCGCAATATATGATTGCAAAGATGTCAAAACTACTTGTAAAATAATTTTGACAGATGGATAGAGAAAAAGGAGGTGTGACGACTAGGTAAAAAGGCATCAATATGAGTGAATTACGCTGCCATTGTACGATTGTTATCCGATATGCAAAATTCTTATAACCTTTTTATTACTGAATGAATCTGGCTGAAATTTTTGCACAATACTTATCTCGATTATGCTGACTATCACTAAAAAAATCAGCTGAAAATATCTAGCCATTCCTGTGATATAAGCGCTTCACTGAGCGAAATTTTGAGCGTGATTTTGACTACACCTAGCGACGATAAAATCATTTTTCTAATTAGAAGAAGTTTCTCTGAAGTTGGTTCTTGAGAGAAAGTTGTAGTAGATAGTTGATTCGTTCAGGGTTTAATCATGAACTTTTTATCCATCAACAGGAAACTACCCAACATTTAGCCTTCATTTTTTTTATCCTTTTCTGTCTTAATGCCCTGAATATGTGATAAAAATTTTAGCTTAGTAAGTTTGACCGTTCGAGAAAAATCTGCTTCTTAATGTCAAAAAGTAACGTGAGGTTTTTTTACCTATAAAAGTAGCGGGGAGTGAAACTCTAAAACTAAATTATTATACACCATTCGATTCACCGTCGAGAGATCTATCTACTGGTGCACATTACAAGTCTTTGAAACACTTTTTGATTCTCTTTTTTGTTCTATCAATTAGTTCATGACTCAAGTACTTTTCCCTTCATTTACTCATCTTACTTTCGTATCAGGCAAGGGGGATTTTGCCTACTTCGAAAAATTTTTAATATCTAGAGAAAAAAAAAGTGACAGTTGAGAAAATAGCATATTAACAGGTAATCGATAGCGCTCTATCCAATGTACGGCTCAGATTTTCTTTGTTTAGAACTTTTTTTTCTCCAAATTTTTTTTTTTTTTATCAATCGTACAAGAGTGGCGCAATTCATTCATATATGTACAGATTATTTCTTTTCCATTGGTATACCGATTACATATACATAACAAGGTCTCAAATACATAAACGTCATCATCTTGCTACACTGTTGTTTCACCATTCTGGTGATTATCTGTGTCAATAAATTTTTGATTTACTTTTGACACTTGATCAAGTATAGGATTTTGTGTTACTCTAGAATAAATAAAATAAAATAAAATATATATTTAATGTTGACCTTGATATATCAGCTGTTAAATAGAAAAAAAGAAACACGAAATACTATATTTTCTGTATAAAGATAATGCCAACCGTTAATAAATACTAAAAATATGTTGATATTTTACATGACACTTTTCATATGTTAACGCTATACATCAAGAATTATTAATAAGAAAAAAATTCATCGATGCAAAGATCTATATCTCTATTGTGCTATATAACTGACGAAAACAACTAAACTTCTCTATTAGTCAATATGAATATAGAGAGAAAGATTTTTTTGTTATTTTTTTTTGGCAAAAAAAGTAGAAAATAACAATAAGGTAGAATATTATCGAAAAGAATGGATACTAAGATACTATTAAACGGCAAAATATTGTCTGTTTAACATAATGTAAAACTATTAGAATAAATTATTAGTTTGTTTTCTAAAAAAGAAAATATGAGGTTATTCTGACAAATCATTCATTCCACTATCATATTAAAAATATGTCCATCTCTGTATATTCCATTAACAAATTATTATTATTTACTTCTTCAACTCCTTTATAAATAGTTAATATACTTGATCTTTATCGTTCTCTCTTCTATCCTCTAATGCCATATAAACAAATGCAAAAAAAATGGTGTACTGTATAAAACAGATATGCCAACAACAACAAAACAACATAAAAAATAACTACAAGAAATGAAACTTTGTCTTAAAGATCAATTATTTTCTGAAACAGAAATTCGTTTAAAAGTACAAGAATTAGCTTTACGTATTGAACATGATGCTAATAATCGTCCAATTGTATTTATTGTTGTTTTAAATGGTGCATTTATATTTGCATCAGATCTTATTCGTTATATTCAAAATGATAATATTCAATTGGATACAATTTGTACATCATTATATAAAAATGATATGATTGCTAGTGGACATGTTAAATTACGTAAAGATATTGATTTAAATTTACAAGAACATTATGTTGTTTTAATAGAAGATATTATTGATACAGGTCGAACATTAAAATATTTATCAGAATATATTATGAATAAATATAAACCATATTGTTTAAAAATATGTACACTATTAGATAAACCATCACGAAGAGTTGTCGATTTAAAAGCGGATTATGTTGGATTTACTATCGATGATTTATTTGTAGTAGGATATGGAATTGATTGTTGTGAAAAATATCGACAATTACCCTATATTTCTTATGTTGAACAAATAATAGAGGATAATTAAATGATTTTGTTATGAAGAGTCAAATTTAACAAAAAAACACAACAATTAAAATCTTAAGATATTTGATCTTGGCAATGAATTAAAAGTTTTCTAAGATTGACAATATTTTAATTTTATATAGAACCACTACTTTTGTACATAGTTAATATAAAAATTATTATTGACCGAGTAAGTTGAAGCTATGATAACAGATTTTTTTTATATTTTATCATTTTTTTTATGCATATGTCATGTATAAATCCCGTGCTTTTGTAGATCCATGCTCTTTTTTAGTGGAATATACACCACATACATCAGAGAATTTTTTTTTTTTTTTGAAAGTATATTCTCAGACAGATAGCGCATGAATGTTAAATCCATGACAGAGATATTTTGAAGACGTTTTAGAACAAGGTAATCTTGAAATAGTTCTGACATCATATCCGAACGATAAGAGGGGAAAAAAACAGGAAGAGAAAAGGATTAAATGTCGATTTTCAGTCTAAAAGTCACCGTGACATTTCTAATGAGGAAAGAGTCTCAAGTGATCCTCGCTTTTTAGTTTAAATTAATGTGATTATAGGTAAAACTGTAGACCCGAGCCCTGCAGGTTAAACCTAACCTATAGGTTAGGTTAGGTTGTAGATTGTGTTTTAATTTTTTTCGATTTTTTTCTAGTTTTGCACAAGCAAAATTTTTTTCTGATTTTGAGGCATCCATGCTTAATTCTTTGAAAGGCAAAAAACTCAGTGACATGCATGTTTACTTTTGTCAAATATGCCTGTAATGTTCTGCGGTTTGAAAACAAGATAGGTTAGGTTAATATTAGGTTGTGAAAATTTATGAAGTGAATGGTGACTTTTTCTTCTTTTGATAAAAAATTCAATTTTTTCATAATAATCTTTCCAGAAATGTGAAACGTTGAGAAAGAGAGAAATAAACAGCGTGAGTAGGAACTGTTCTATTATATCAAAGCAGTCAAATCAAAAAGCAGATTCATAAACATCAATATTGTTTACGCTAAAGTAGAAAGCTTATGGTTTTCGTGCCTTTCAAATTCTATTCGAATCTTTCTCGGTGAGTATCAGCGGAAAATTGCAACTATTATTATCAAAGAGATTATGAAAAATGCTTAGTGAGAGGTATCTTTTCAATTACAAAATGGTACAACACATAAAAAACGTCTCTATATCAAAAACAAACCGTAGATATGATCAACATACAATAAAATTTTTGATCAATCATTTTTTTCGAATATCCTTCATTTATACCAACGTCTTAAGTATCAGTCATGTTTTAATAAAAAAAATGATTTTACGTTCATCATAATCACGGCACGTTTTAACACAACACGTTACACTCATGTCAAACGCTAATATAACATATACGACATATTTACATTTTATACAATATCATTCGATGACATTAGATCGTTACCAAGTGTCCATAAAAATAGAATAACAGATGTTAGTTTATTATGTGACTGTAGAAATTTATTATCAAATGAAACATAATTCTTTTCCATTAAATAGAATAGGTCAACACTCACAAGAAAATATGCTTAGATGTTTCACTCTCAATTTGACTGAAATATAGCTAATTATGATTAATTTTGAAGTTGACACCGAATTTGATATGCATTTTTGTCCATTGTATCGTTATGAAGAATCTTATACTTCTAGATAAAGAGAAATCTAATGTGATCCATCTTTTATCACGTCGAGTTATGTATGTGAAAAATTTTTTCAATTCTAACAAACAAGTTTAGAAAAGTTTACTTTTTCTATTTACTAGACATTTTAACGTTTTGTTTCCAGATATCTTACTCTTCTATCAGGACGATTTTGTCAGATCTGAAAATTTTTCCATATACATTTGAGCGTGTTATTGTTAATATTAATTATTTTGTTACATATCTTAAGTGAAAATTATCTACACCATCAAATTATGTTAGTGTCAAAATAAACTATACAAAGTCAATAATCAACAATGAATTTATATGTTATATGAAGGATAATTATTTAATCTAAATGATTTAAATAAATAACAATGTGATCATAGTTTAAAGAATAATAGATGAAAATGAAAACAAATATACATTTGCACTTCTTTGAATAGACGATTCAGAGAATTGTTAATTAGGAGGGAAATGATGCATAACTCGATTGTTATCATTAAATAAAAATAATAGTTGAACTCAAATGTGTTTATAATTGAAATTATTGCAACAATGAGTACTCATGAACACACTCTACTACTTTTCTAACATTTTTCGTTCATTCTTCACTTACTATTCATTTTAAAATATTATCAAAAATATAACAACATATATTTTTTCTAAATAACATTTGACAAAAGAGAGATGAAAAGTTGTGTTTTTCATTGGTATGTAGCCAAGATCGAATCAACTTAACATATGAAAAATAAAATGAAAGAGTATTTGAAGATAATGTGTGTCAACTATCATTCAGAGAAAAAGTTGTCAGTTGATAAAAGCGTATTAGAGTTTTTACTTCCACTGAGAGAGTCAAAATAGCAGTATACTGTGCTTTACAGTGGTGTAGCCAGAAGGTGAGCGCACTTGGAAAACTAACTTACGCTGGACAAAATCAAACAGAAATATCAACCAACTATCAACGACATCTGTTCAGTGAAAAAACTTGGACTCATCTCTCAGAAAAATCCTCAATACGCTATCGGTGTTGTACAGTACCATGCCGGTCTAAAATCTTTATTTATCAGCACGCCAATTTTGTCTGCAGTCGTAGAAGCAAAACTGAACATGTTTAGATAAATTTTAAAAATAAATGATGAACATATCGTACTAGATACTCTAAATCTTGTGGCATAATTAGCTAAAAGAATTCAATTTTGTACTCAATTGAACCAAGAGTATATGATAATAATTTTAAGAATCGCAAAAAATTGAATAGAATTAAATAAAATACATACGGTACATCCATTTCTAAATCTTCTTCATCTGAATCTTGCGATAATGCTAGATAGGGATTATTAATTGCCGGTTGAAATTTACAGGCAGTAAATACAAAAAATATAAATGTTGTTAAGTCAAAAAATAGAACCTCTAGCCATTCATAACGGAAGGGAACAGTTAACTAAACAAATAGAAAAATAGATCGACACTATTATTATCTATAGAGAGAATTGTAGTTACTTTTAAAATGTAAACAATAATACGTGTAAAATAAATATAAAATACAATCTAAAATAAAATTTTATTATTTTAATTCAAAGAGAAATGAATATACTACTACATACCATAACATAAAATTGTCTAAATATTTTTAGTTTATTTAAACTGGAAGCTGCTTTTCCATCTGTTTGACTAGCTGCTTCTAAATGTCGAATTGACCTATAATTTTGAAAGATATATCATTGTGACATAAAATTTTAATTACAGATACGAACCAAACAACGGGAAATAGAATAGCTCCACAACATAATAGATCAACTAAAAAAAATATTTGTTTCCATGTTACATAAACAATATCACTTTCTTCTTTTTCTTCTAAAAATACTTGAGCTACAACTGCCAAAATCTGAAAATAAGATCAACTATTATTATTAAGAAAATAGATTATGTATAATTTACTTGTAGTGGAATGACAATAATAAATAATTTTCGTTCTCTTAAAGATAAAACATGTTTAACAAATGTCCAACCAGTACCAACCAATAGTATGGCAACGATTAACAGTAAACCACGAAGACTAAACGAATAAAAACAATAAACAAATATAGTATTTTTCTTCTCTATTACAAATAAAATGGAGAAAAAAGTTCAGTAGTATGAGATGAATATGTCAGAATTGTCCATAAAAATGTCAACTTACACATGCGTCACATAAAATAAAATAGCCCACGCTTCTTCATGTCGTCCTCTCGTTGCAATGTAATGTTGATTAATCTAAAACATATAAAATAAATTTTTTAATAATTAATAAATATAATAGTTAATAAAATTATACCCCATGGAATATTAATGATAACGCTTTTGTTAGAACCAATAATAACATCAAATAATGAATTTTGAAAACTGTTTGTCTAGAATAAATTTTCTTTTAAATTATTTATTTTCTCTTATGTAATTTCATATCAATCAACATACTCTGATGTTCTTAAAATAAAACACCAATAACATCCTGATAGTAAATAGATTACAGCCCATGTAAAATAAAGTACGGGTAGTGGAATTTCACCAGCTGATAAATAATTATCAACATTCCTCTCAGTTATAATTGCCTAAAATAAAAATTGATACAAAGTGTCAAAATGACAGTGTTAGCTAAAGTTAGGATTTCTAAGTACATGTCTCCCTAAGCCTTATGTAATGGCTGTTATGTCTGTCATTGCGAAAGAGATACTAATGATGTCATGATGATTAATTCAGTCAACAAACGATACTTTTGTACTCTGAAAAAATATTCATCATATTCAAAAAGGAACAGATGATCTCTACACTGCTGTTGACTAAAGTAATACTATGGACGCTTTCATGTTTAGTTTTAGGTGAACTGGTTTGAAAACATTATAACAGACGTAATCTATAGTATAACGAAGGGTATTTAAAGTATTCATTTATGCCTTTATATTCCTTTGGTAAAGAAGATTAATGAATATGACCCGTTCTAATCAACATTTTCATGACAAAAGAACTTTAAATCACATGATATTCAAATGTTTTAGTAATGAAGTGATAAATACTATTGATAAAATCAAAGAAAAAAATAACTCATATTATTGATGATAAAAAAATTCACTTTTAAAAGTGAATAAATATGTTCTTTTGGTTTGCTTGAAAAACGTTGTTTTTTTTATAGACTGTATACATAAAATGACTAAATGTTAAACAGAATATTCTATTTACACTTAAGACATCGATCAATCACGATTAGTAAAACGATTAATTATATCTTCTAATAAACAAATATCGTATTACTTGTTAGCGATGGCTTTTCTATCATAATTTAAAATATTTTCATAAAACGCAACTATAATAGATTCTTATCTAGTAGGATTTCTCGTAAAAAGTAATAAAATATAACTAGATGGACTCTCTTCGTCTAATACACTCATAATTTTACTCGAACGAAAAAAAAATTCATCTCAGACAAAATGACTCTATTGGAAAACTTATAACAAATAATATTTACATACGGTTAGATTAATGGTAGCAATTTGTGGTCCCATAATATTATAACAGTTATGAAAATATAAATTGTATAAACCTTCTTCTTCAGGTCGTTTTACATGCAGTATAAACTAAAATAAGAGCAAAAATCTTTGTCTTTAATTTATTAGTATATAAAGATAAAAAACGATTCACATACTTGAAATTTATAACGATGTGTTCCAGATAACTTTTGTATTGGTATCTCTGTTATTAAGCTTTTATTTTCATCAGTAATTGTCCTTAATAACTGAGTCGTTGCTGATGTATTCATTGTCGCATTAATCGTAGCTGGTACAGAGAATGATGAAGAAGAATCTTAAATAATAACATTCAGTTATAAATAATAGAAAATCAATCGTTATCTATACTAACTTGTCAGTTGAGTAGTAGCAGTATTAGAACTGATTTCTTGAATATTAATATAACGAAAATCAAGCGAACCACGATCAATTATTATTCTAAAATATGAGGTGAGTTAATTGTATTCAAAGCAAAACGAATGCATCTAATTTTCCTGTGTATATACAAACTACCAGATAATGTGAATCGTAATCCATTTTCAAAATAAAACAATCTCTAACTATAGACAATTATGTTTTAATATTTAAGAAGAGTAAGGTCTGTGATGATATGTTGAAAATGCAGAGATTTAAACTAGTTACATTGACAGATCATTAGGAAATAAAAAGAACACAAATTATAAACGAGAATTTCTTACTTTGGCTCATTTGTTGCATAATTAATCGTGAATTTAATTGCAGGTATGGATGCCTCTTTTTTATCGAGTACACACGATTTACCCTGATTTTGCTAAAAACAAAAACGTGGAAGAAAAACATTAACTGATTTATGAACACAATCATTTACATTACCAAATAGCTTGCAATATTTTTTTTATCAATAGTAAATCCGAGCTAAAAGAAAAAGAAATAAGCCATGTTGAAAACATTCAATTATTAGCAAAAAAAAACACAGTTTTTTTGAAGAAAAATCTACACCAGGTTTCTGTAAATGTACGAAACAGATTCATGAAACTTTCTAAGCATTTGTACTAAACTTCCGAGTTTTCTTAGAAATCTTTTGTATCAGTATGAACTTAATATTAATTGTATTTAGTAATTTTACAATCGCTTTGTAGTTGCTAGAAACTCAGACAGAATTCATTTTTGAAAGAATCAAAAGAAGATACCACGACCAGTTTCGACCTTTCTCAAGGGTTTCGTCAGTATTTTGGTGCTTTTCACATTTGTCTCAACAGTTGTTGAGTGAAAGTTACTAGATACAGTTTAAGTTTAAAACGATGAATCATTTCTGATAGAATGAAAAGAAATACTTAATGTAGAGAAGCAGAACATGTGCATTGTACAGTGATATTGTGCTTCGTTCTCGCCGTGTGAATATTATCGTTCTTTGTTCGATAAGAACATGGAATAGTAACACCCTTATATGGTGTGGACGGAGTTGTGTTGCTTGTCGTGCCTTAACTCTGTCTTTCTTGAAGGAAACCACCTGATGAGATCCTTGAGAAAGGTCGAAACTGGTCGTGGTATCTTCTTTTGATTCTTTCAAAAATGAATTCTGTCTGAGTTTCTAGCAACTACAAAGCGATTGTAAAATTACTAAATACAATATGAACTTACTTAAAAAGAAAGTGTAAAACACAAAAAATATGTATACCTTAGTGTCGTTGACACCAGTTGTTTTGTCAAATGAAAATTCTAACACTGTTATATTCAGACTACCGCCACGTAAATAGCCAAATGAACTGACAAGAATAAGTGGACGATTATCTTCCTAAAATAACAGATAATAAATAACAATAGTTTTTATTTGTTTTACTATTTTTTACTTACGATAAAATTTAAATTATGCACACGACTATGGACAAGAGCGATAATAAATGAAAAGACAATAGTGTCGAATAGAAAATTGTACATGATTCTAAAATAAAAAATTTTTATTTCATCAAAACTAAACACTTTGACCGAACCATAAAGTTAATTTCTTAAATTTATTGAGTTTTCATGGCGATAATAATCGATCCTTTATTTACGCTACTATATGATAAGAGTACAATTTGTAAATAGAGTAAACACCTGTTAATGAGATAAAAATGTCAGATTTCAAAGATTTAATACATAAAAATCATATGATTATCTCTGATCATGAAATTTAACAACAGATCGTATTTTTCTGTACTAAAAAACAAGAGCTAAAAATTAATGTAAGCTTACATTTCAATTTAATTTTTTCAATTTTAAAGTTTAGGCTATTTTAGTCATTTGAAATATCTTAGACGAAACATTTTCGATCGGATCTTTACAGTACTCGACTTCAACATAATTTCTCAAACAGAAAATATAAATTGATAAACTAAAATTTATAAATTTTAGATAATGAAAAATGTATTCAGATTTACGAAGATGAACAATAGACAACTTGAACAAAATTTTTCCTATTTATTTCTACTTTGAGTGATATACAAACAATGATTGAACAAAATAAACTTATATAAAAATAACTAGTGGAATAGTTTTATTTGTCTTATCTAAATCCAAACATCATAATCGAGAATGTATTTTTGTTCAAATTTTTGAAACATAGTTGCATTTACCATTCACTGATGTCATATTGTTTGTAAAATATTAACTATATAAATTTGAATAAAAATAACGAACAAATGTTTTTCACTTAATTGTCATTTCATTGTATGAGTTGAAAAAAACGAATTGTTTTATTCAATTATGAACATAATCTTTAACTATTAAATGACTTCTCATAATTTTCTTTTTTATCGCTTGATAAATCATTTGTAAAATTGTTGAACTCTTGGATAAAATTGTGATTCATTCATCCACCTTTCTTCTACGCAATCGAGTGAACCTGTTTGGTCCGGGTAAAAGAAGATCATCATCGCTATTGGTTGTTAAAGAACTAGTTTTCTAAACTTTTTGTATATTTCAGTAACGACATTTTCTTATTCTTTTAAATCAAAATGACTACAGATAAATTTTCAATTCCATAATAAACATCCTAATATAAAAAATAAAATAAATAGACGTCATCTTTCTTATTTTTTATAATTACGTGAAAGTTTATTCAACATTTTCATGATCTTTTTTTGACCAAAGCAAATATTACTACAATTATTTCTGCTAATCAAATCCTTCTCAGAGATTTCTTTATCACAGTCTATGAATCATGCGTACACTTTTCTAATACGTACCTCAGAATTCACTCGTGATAATCTATTTCAAATGAACATAACCGTATTGTATGAATAGGCAGATAATTGGTTTGACTAATGACTGTATAATTATCATTTCATAGATAGTCACTTGCAGCTGACGTTCCAAGTATTACGTTTTCTGATGTGTTACGAATAAATCATCAACATTTATTCCATCGTAGGAAAACTGCTCAATTTTCAGACAAAAATTACTTAAACATTTTGACACTAATGATGGGAATAAACGTTTTTTATTAAATATTAACCATGATATAATGTGAATGTGACGAATGAAGTAATAATTATCAGTATGAATGTTGTACGACCCATTTAAACATATATCAGTTGTTTATAAGTAACTGATATATTAACCTTGTTAATTTTAAAAAACTTTATATCAATAATAATCTTTAACTCACAAATTTATTCGTATTTTTATCTTACAGGTGGTAATGTTAATGATTTATTTAATTTTATTCAAACCTATTTGTATTGGTTTAAGTAAAATTAACGGTTGTAAATAAATAAATTCCACAAAACGACTCAATTTATTCGACAGTTTCAAATCATTGATTTCGTTTGTCGCAATGAAACAACTTTATCTAACAAAACATGTTTGCAATAATGAACAAATCATTTTGTTGTAGAATTGAGATACATCGGTATATGAATAGCTAAGAAGTTTAAACGTATATTAGGATCATAAATCGAGTTAATAATAACGACTGACATAACATAAATAAATATTTCATTAACAGAAAGTTCAGTTTAAAACGGTTGAAGGATCATTATTCATCTAGCTCGTCAACGAAAGCTTGTTAGTTTCTTTTCAAATCAGCTTTCATTGATGAAGGACAATTATCATTACCATTAACATCATTTAAAATAGAGGACATCTAAAAATACTAAAATAGAAATTTGTAAATTGTTTATATTGTTTTGCTTGTTTCATCTCAGACATGAATAAAAAGTCAAATAAACCGATCAGAACGCTCAATCGTTTTTTTAACGCTATGAAAGTCCTTAGAGACATCGAGGTTGCTTCCGAGTCAAATGCGGCATTAGAAACATCATTCAAAAACGGAAAAATAAGAAGTTATCCGATTGAAAAAACTAATATTATTATTAACTTCGTTAAACAAATATTGAAAGGTAAAGCACATGTCTTGACAAGAGGTCGGATCCCACACACACTGTTTATTCGGGCCATGTGACTAGACTGGCATTTCGATACACCTCACTGATCGAATATATTGATCAGACCAACTGATATGCTCAATCTCTTTCCATTTCGATACGAAAACATCATCGCCTCGTGTAGGAATCTTATATTATGGTTGTTTACAATTTCTCTAATTTCTTTAGATGCAGTGACTAAATATGAACGAACAATATAAAGTGGAACTCAAGTTCAGCAATGACTCAGTTTGCCAATGAGATTTTACTCACAAATAGCTATCTCCAACGGACGCTGAAAAACGTTATCTAGAACTTTTTACAAATTTCTTAGTTGTGCTTCCTTGCACTTCTACATAAATGCGGTACGCAATCAGTTATACAACAGATGTCAGCTTTAAAAAAATGCACTTTGATTGGATCGATACTTTTTGCTTGTTCGATGAAACCATGAAAGATGACTCATCTTCTACAGATTGGGCAAAAATGAAATTATATTATCTAATCTCATTTTGGTTTTCTCTTGCATGCGCTCATAATGTTATAATTTCATTTATAGACCATTTTCATAAGCATAAATAGTATTTGATAAACTAGCAGAATCATATTGTGATTAGATCACGATGGAGTTTTATATGTGATCAGAAGTGTGAAATACGAACGCGTTTTACAAACATAATAGAAACTTAAGAGATTTCTGAACGCAAAGAACTCATTCAATAGGAACCAGAACGTCTACAAAAAACAGGACATAGTGTTGCATGCGAGAAACCAAAAGAAAATTTAGCCACTCGAAATACTGAGGAATTTGGCTGACTAAGAAAATGAGGATCTTTTGATCTTTTTCCGTTTGTTTACAATCAGCTGTATCTTAATAACGTCCCTCCTTCTGGTGTTTCTTCATTTTCGTTGCCTCGGAGGTCTTGTTTCGTACGATCTTAGATTGAATAACTTCTTGTTTCTCTAGATCTTAACATAGGCGTTACATTCATTTAAGTTTTATCTTTTTTGTAACATCCCAGACACATTCGTGTTAAAGTAAACTGATGTGATTGATTGAATGAACATGCCACAGACATTGCTCTTGCTTATCGGTGCGAACTAGGAGCACAGAGCCGCGTCTTCAGAGTAGCTTCATTAGAAATTTGGCGTCGAATTTATCTTTCTTTC